ACCATCAACCTGCAACTGCTGTACAGTCTTTGCAGCCACGGTTACTGATCCCCTATCTTCTCTTCCGGTCCCTTCGCTCCTACACCGATGTTTCACGGCTTGGAGAACTGGTACGGACTTTCCTCTACAATGCTCCATCCCTCTCGATCCAGAGCTCGCCCGTAACTGGCTCAAGGCAGCCCAGAACTCTGATGAGCACTGCGGGAAGCTTCGAACTCTAATTGGCAGAGGTCTATCCAAGTTCCGCATCGATGAGAATGGCCTGCTGAGGATTCGGGATAAGTATGTACTTCCCAAGAGATATGGTCGGTCCCTTGCCCAATACGTCCATCATTCTTATGGTCACTGTGGCGTGAAGCAGACTCTCAAGATCATCTGTCGTGACTTCTTCTGTCTCCGCATCGCCGACACTGTGCAACGTGTTGTGGTAAATGCTACTGCCAGTATGTACGTGCTCGACGTGGTCCTTTACAACCTATCATCTCATCATTACGCGATTCTATTGGGGTCAATGATGTGTGGTACATTGATACTGTAGGACCTTTTCCGCCGAGCACCCTACACAACTCGAAGTATGTACTCTCTCCCTTATGGATGCGGCAAGTAGATATGTCATGTTCTTAGCGGTCTCGTCGATCACTTCAAAGGCCATCACTGGTACTATCGACAATCAAGTGTTCGGCTTGGTAGGATCACCACGATGCTTTGTGGCCGATAACGGTACATCCTTCCAATCGGTGCACTTCCGTGGTTGGGCTGCGTCATGGGGTATCCAAGTGAGGTATGTTCCAGACTGGAACTTCCAGTCTACTCGCCCAATCGCAATGGAGCTTTGGAGAGGCAACACGGGATACTGAAGCAAGTTCTCAAAGCCATGTGCAAGGGCAATACTGATCGCTGGCCTTCCTTCCTTGCTCTTGCTCAGAAGCGTTGCAACAATCGCCTCCTCGATGATAGTTGTGAATATACTCCTCAGCAACTCTTCATGGGTTCTTCTGATGCCAGCTCCCTAGGTCGACGGTTCGAGGATATTTCCAACACTATCACTACTGATACGGTTAAGTTCGAAGCTAAGCGTCGATTCTCTCGCCGTGAAGCTATGATCAAGGAAGTTCATGACGCTATGGAAGAAGCTGAGGCCAAGGTCATGCTGAAGTTTGGTGATCGCCTGTCGCGTCGTCGCACTTTTAAGGTTGGGCAGAAGGTGCTCAAGTGGATCGACAACAAGTCTAATGGTGTGCTTCAACCTAACTGGACAGGCCCTCTCACTATCAAGGAGGTTCTCGGTACTGCTACTTATCGTCTTAGTGATGACACTGTTCACGCTGACCGAAACCTCTGTCTATACTATCAATGATGCCAGCTAATATTATATTCTCTACTTCATTACGTATATTTAAGGGGGGAGATATGTGAGAACCAAGACAACTCTCTTGCTATCTTGCTCCCTTTCGTAGTGGTCTCACTATTATTCAATACCACTCAGTTCTTACATCCTCACTATGATGATTCTTGCACTCTTTATATCCTGTATATCTCTCATTCGCCCCAGTGAAACGGATAGATGCGTTTCACGGCGTACTCCACTCCACACACTACAATTATCGTGGTTATTAATCTGCTATCATTCAC